GGCTTTCCACGGGCAGGATTGAGGCAGAAGGGGTGCAGCCCGGGCTCCCTGTCCATCCGTCACCCCCCTCACCCCCTCCTCTCCCTAAATGCCCTCCCCCCAGTCTCTCCTCTGAAGGCTAGGCCTCCTGGCTCCCAAGTCTGTGAGAGGGGTCTTTGCAAAACAAGTTTGATCTTCTCAGGCCCCTGTGGTTCCCAGGCTCTTAGGATAAAGAGACCTTTGAGAGGCAACCCCCCACCCGCCCCCACCCCTACCTGACTCTCTAATCTCACCCCTGCCCCCTCTGTTTCTGATGGATGACTTTCATCAAGACTCCCCAAGAGGAGGGGCACTTTCAGAGGGACTGGCAAGCAAGTTAGGGACCGTGTTTTTGGTGACTTCTTTTCTGGATGGTGGATTCAGCCCTCTCACACTCTGCTCTACTTGACTTGAGTTTGAACCTGCTCATGAGAAATATGGGGTCTGAGCCTTCGTGGATGAGGAGGAAACTAGTGTCTGGTGGGGAGGGAGTATGGACGGAGAGAGGGGACTGCTCTGCTCTATCAGGGAGACTTTGCTTCCCCCAAAGGTGATTAGTCATGTGGTAAAATGTAAGCTGAAAAGGACTTGTTTCCACTGAGTTCAGACTGGTTGCAAAACAAAATTGTTCTCTCATCATACGAGGAGATTAATGGCCTGGCAGCGTCCAGCTGCTCAGGCGTCTGCAGCCTGAGGCCCCTAGTCTGGGGAGGGGGCCTGATGTGGGGCCCACCCATTGCTGGCCAGGAAGCCTGTGCAGCCTCAGCCCCCTCCTCCAAGGAGCCTGCCATGCGGGATACTGGCAGCCCATCTTCAGGGCAGAGGATTTAACCAGCTCTCTTCACTCCCCACGGCCTGAAGGGAGCAGGTACACTGAGAACCTCGCTGACTCAGCTGAAAGGGAAGACCAGAGCTGGTGGTGTAGTTTTTATCCCGAAAGAAAGTGTTCATGCTCATGGGAGGTGCTCAGCCCTGCAAATACACAGTGTCAGGGATTCTTCAAGGAAAGTAGCATTTCCCGAAATCGTGGAAGGGATGTGCCTTTATGATTCTCACTTAGGTAACGCCACATGTTAAATGCAGAAGGAAAACAGGATTAGGGTTAGGAGTTTCAAAGCTCCAGGGTATTCGTCTCAAGCTCAGCATCATCATAAACCTACGAGTCTCTCGGAATCAGTTGGTCGGACAACTAAAGCAACTAAGAGAACTTAGGAAATGCCTGCTGCACAGTTACCTGGCCTTGTTGACCAGAGACAAGCTGTACAGCTTCTCTGGGAGGGCTGGTATCTGGTGGCGGGCAGGGTGGAGCCCCTCGTCCCAAAGCCCCCTGTGAGAGGGACCCCTGCGGTGATACTGAGCAGGGATTGGCCAGGTAGGGGGCGCTGCAGGGTTTCCCACGACCTTTGAGTTTATGTTTGGGAAGAACTCCCACAAATATGGAGGACAGAGAGGAGGAGGGTGAGGCCAGAGGCAGAGATGAACTGGGAGGTGGGGAGAAGTTGAGGAGGGCAGCAGGAACTCCCCTGAACCGGAGTCTGGCCGCAGCTGAGCTCAGGGCTCCCCCACCCAAGGCACGGGGGTCCCTGTAAGTCCCCTGCCCATGCCCTGAGGTGGAGGCAGTGTTGTGCTCACAGTCATTGCTGAGGCGCACTGACCTTTGTCAGACTCACAGATGGTCCATGACCCCCGCAAGGTGGGGCCCAAGGTCAGAGGTCAACCCACAGAGCAAGGCCTGGTGCAACGCTCCCTGGACCTTCCTGTTTAGTCATTTCATCCAAGAGAATAAACTGACAGAAGAGAGAGCCATCAGGTCCCAGGAGAGCGTGGCGGGTGGGCGGGCAGGTTCACAGAGCAGCCGCCCCTCTGGTGGAAGTTGGGAGGTGCCCCTCGGCGGCGTGTTTGTGAACCTTCAGCTTCTTGACAGCTGGTGGGCAGTAAAGGTGGGGGCAGGGAGCCCGGGAGCTTCATCAGATGGGAGCACTGCCCTACTCTGAGAAATGGACTTCCGGTGTAGACACCCACGTGGCCTCCCTCAGTACCAGATGCTTAGACAGTCCTTTGAAATTTAAAACTCTTTTTAAATAGCCCTGATCTCCACCCAGGCCCAGCTGACAACTCTCTGTGGAAAAGCTTGAAAGGAGGGAGCCTGGGGACGGAGATGTCCTTGTCCCTGCCTCCTTGTGCACTCCCCCCCCTCCTCCCACGCAGGAACCTTTGTTGGGGGTAGGTCACCCCCTCTGCACACCCTGCACTGCAGGTCCCGGTGAGCTTGGGGCAGGGGGACAGCCCTGTCTCTCACAGTCTGGTGTCCGTAAGATGACAGTGGTCAAAAGACCTTTGCCCAAAACCTCAGGATTTAATTTTACCCAGTTGGTAGCATATATTAGCATCAGTTTACTGAAATTTCTATTTGTCCGCACAGCTATTTTAAAAGTCAAAGGGCATAAATTGTTTCGGTTTGTTTTACACGTTTTTTTTTTCCTGTTCACATCCTTTTAACCTTAGACTCATCACCTACAGGATTCATCCTACGCAGTAGGTGTTTCCTGTCTTGTCAGCTTTACTAGTTTCCAAGCCCTTTTTCCTTGTCAGTGGGCTGCCTAGATCCTTTAAGAGGTCTCTTAGAAATCAAGCTCTGTAACAGAGACTCACAGACTTAGAGAACCGATTTATGGTTGAGGAGGAGGGAAGAGACAGTTAGGGAGTTTGGGATGGACATGTGCACACTGCTGTATTTGAAATGGGTAACCGACAAGGACAGCATGGGGAACTCTGCTCAATGTTATGTGCCAGCCTGGATGGGACGGGAGTTTGGGGGAGAATGGATACATGTATATGTATGGCTGAGTCCCTTCACTGTTCACATGAAACTATTACAACATTATTAACTGGCTATACCCCAATACAAAATAAAAAGTTTAAAACAAAAAAAAAGAAAACACCACGAACAAAAAACAAAATCAAGCTCTCTTATTTACATTTTCTTATAGATACATATAACTATGTTATAATCCTATGTTGAGGGTTCTGTGTCTGCAGTGGCCACAGTAATTGTGTTTTATTCATCAGGCATCTTACCTGTTTTGACGCTTACAATAAAAAAAAAAAAAGAAAGAAAAGATTGTTTCTCTGCATTTTTCACCTGTCGTGACGAAAACTATAAGAATTAGACAATTTAGGAATCCTGATTTGAGGTTTCTATTACTGTAAACTTACAACTTTTCTGTTTTTTGGTGTTTTTTTTTGGTCTTAGAAGGATTCTAGAGCTTTGTATGAGAGGTATCTTTGTACGAAAGGTAAATCTTCTATACTTTTCTCATATATTTTGAATGAGCGGGACAGTTAAAAGTCTAGAAGGTATACAGCTGTCTTCTGCTGCTCTGCTCAAGGCCAAGGCTCCCATTCATTACCAGCTTCTGTGTTTCCTTCCAGAGAGAGGAAGAGCTACATCTGTCACTTCATTGTTTTTACCTTTCATCACTAATTAAATCTAGAGTGGTAACAATATTACTTGGGCTTCCCTGGTGGCTCAGACTGTAAAGAATCAGCCTGCAGTGTGGGAGACCCAGGTTCCATCCCTGGGTCTGGAAAATCCCCTGGAGAAGGGAATAGCAACCCACTCCACTATTCTTGCCTTGAGAATCCATGGACAGAAAAGCCTGGTGGGCTACAGTCCATGGAGTCGCAAAGAGTTGGACACGACTGAGTGACTAACACACACACAACAATATTACTAATTTCCCCAATTCATCTTCTTTAAAACTGGATATTGCATTTTGATGGCAACTGTAGAAAGTCATGTTTCCAGTGGGTGGTGGGACCAGGGTTGCAGCCCCAGGGAAGCCAGGGCTGCGGTGCAGAGTGAAGGAGTGAGACCAGGAAGAGACCCTGCTTCCATGGGATACCCCAATCCTTGGATTCACAATACATGTCCTTCTAGAGAGGGGAGTATGTTAACCCTTTGATGCTTGGAGTGAAAAGAGCTTTCAGAGCCATTCTGCTCTCAGCCTGGAGGAGATCCTGGCAAAAAGATGCTGACACAGACAGAAACTGCCGGAACCACAAAGCCAGGCTGCTGGCTGAGAGCAGGAGTGACCTGTCCTGAGAAGAGGCTGAGTCAGAGCTGCCTGCTGTCTTGCTGGCGTCCTGCGGGGCCGGATGACAAGGACGTGTCCCTATTGTCTGTCCCCCATTCTGCAGACACCCACCTACACTCTTCACCCCAGGAACCAGACCTGCCCTCCTGACTTGGGGTCAAACGTGCAGGGCTCCAGGGTACCCAGGACAGTTCTGGGTAGACTGTGGGCATCTGAGGTGAGGGGACCCCAGGCGATCCTGGGTTGAGACAATCCCCGGATGGGGGTTGGTAGAAGAAACCACTCTCGTTTCAGTTATGAATTTTTGAGTAACATTTAATGGGGGAGGAAAGAAGGCACTTCCTTCCTTTCTAAAGAGGATTTAGAGTTCAGTGGAGAGGGAGGAACTAGCTGCTGTCTTGAGAACTGAGCCTTTCTTTTTTTTCCTTTTCCTAAGGAAAATGTCCCTAGGAGCTCCTGATGACCAGGCACTTCTTGACACCGACAGCTGCCTGTGAAGTGTTGGTGGGTTTCCTGGCAAATAGAACAGGGCAGGCCCCTCCTCTAGTCGCTACCTTTCAGGGACTTTTCAGCCGGTTTTGATCAGAACGATGCTGGTAGGATTCATGCCGGCGCCGTTGTGATGGCTCACCGCCGCCAGGCTTTGCCTGTTGGTCAACACGTGAGCACCAGGTCCCCCCCCCCTCCAGGTGCAGGCGGAGATAAGCCCGGCCGAGGGAGGGGGTGCGTCGGGGAAGCAGGAAGCGCCGGGCAGGGCGCCGCCGCCCCAGGCCTCTCCCCGGACCAGGTGTGCGCGTGGGACGGGACGGTCTCAGGTCTCCGTCGGTGCCGCGCTCCGAGGGTCGCGATCGGGGCGTCGGGGGCGGGCCCTGGAGGGTCGGGAGCATGACGGCCTTACAGCTGAAAGAGCTCTCGCAGTCGGGGCTCTACCGCCGGAGGAGGGACCGGCCGGACAGCCTGCGGCTCCCGGGGCCGCGGGAGGAGGCGCTCAGGTGAGTGGAGCCGCGGGGACGGGGATGGGCAGCGTGAGCCCGGCGGGTTTCAGTCCTGAGTCCGCTACCGGTAATGGTAGAGCTGCGGGCGGTGGAGACGTGCATCCCTTTGGCTTCTTAGGACGCGTTTCAGAGGAGTTTTTCTCTGCTCTTTAGGGGTGAGGTTTGTGGATGGTGGCTTGGTGGGGGTCGGGGTGGCTTCGAAGGTTCTTTGTTACTGAAATGGATTTCACAGAGGAAGGCAGAGCAACTTCTGTATGTAATCTGACAGAGGTGGAAGGATTGCAAACCCCCAGACCTTCGTAACTGAGGAGTTGAAGAGTTTTCTGTTTCCAAAGTTAACTTGCCTCAGACAAGGCATGTTTAGTTTTTGTTGTCCCTACTGAATTTCTTTCTTAGGTTTTAGGTTCTGAAAAGCCCCTGCCACATTAAGCTATGGGTTAAACTGCTGTGTTCCCTGTGAGGGGTAGGAGCTCTGTCTGAGGAAACCCTTCTCCTGACACCTATACTGGGCAACACATCAGTGTGTTTGTGGACCCTCTGTTCAGGCATTTGATTTTTCCACTTAGATATGGGAGGAATAAATACATTATATACTATTGCTCTTTCTCCTGTGGATTTATTTTTAGAGTTTAAGTTATTTAACTTAAAAAAAATTGACAAGGAAGCTCTTAAATATATTAAATTTGTCTACAAACTTACCCCAATAACTGTACTTTGGGAAGGAAATGTTTATTTGAAAATTGTCCACTCTTGTCTGCATTTGAAGAGAGCTGCAGCATTAAGCGTTAGTCGCTCAGTCGTGTCCGACTGTGACCCCATGGGCTGTAGCCTGCCAGGCTCCTCTGTCCATGGAAGTCTCCAAGCAAGAATACTGGAGGGAGTTGCCGTTTCCTTCTCTAGGAGATCTTCTGGACTCAGGGATAGAACCCATGTCTCCCGCATTGCAGGCAGATTATCACTGAGCCACCAGGGAAGCCTGGTGTGGACACCAACATTATTTGGATTTTTTTTGCTATGACATCATGTGTCTGTTAGCTGCATTCAGTCATCTTAACTTTGAACTGACTGGATTAAACACATTTTTTGTTGTTATTGTCTGCGCCATGCAACTTGTGGGATCTCGGTTCCTTGACCAGGGTTTGAACTGTGGCCCCTGCAGTGAAAGTGCAGAGTCTTGATTAACCACTGGACCACGAGGGATAAGGATGAGGTTTAGTGGGAATGTTGAACGCCTCGTGCTTGACCAGAGAGGCAGGTGGTCACGACCGCTGAAATGAATTCCAATGTACTCTTGCTCTGAGAGCAAAAACTTACAAAAAATAAATTTAATTTCAGATTTGAGATCCTAAAGAATTTACCTTTTCTAAAAAGTTATATAAAACAACATTTGAGACCAGCCATCTTTTATTTATTTTCACAGTTGCCAGAGTCCCCATGAATGAGCCTACCTGCATGTCAGAGGTTCTGGTTACCTGTGTAGTCACAAAGGCCTTTGAAACAACGTGGTTATTTTCTTTTGTCTGGAGTTTACGTTACCGGAAGAAGAATCATTCTTAAGGTGTATTGCTTGTTGCCTTGGGTTGAGGGGCTGTGTTTCTGTTGATTTCTGCTGTGTCGTCCCCTGGTGATAAGAAGGGATTTGGGCTTCTGCCATTTCTCTGTCCCCAGGTGCAGAGAAGTGACTGCATATTTTAGGACTGCAAGCTTAGCCAGGAAAAAGTCCTCTAGCAATTTAGAGAGGCAGGGTTTTCACCTAGTTTTGTAGGAAGCCTGTGTGTAGTATCAAGTCGGGCTCCTCGGGTAATAGGGGTGGGAGGGCTGACTTTGAGGTTAGACACGCCCAGTTCAGGCTGCTGGGTCAGGAAACCTAGATGAACCTCAAGAGGCTCCTCTTTAAAACAAGGATAAAGATCACTACCGTTATTCAGTGTCATTTATTATCTCATAAAGCCCTCACCACTGGCTTAGCAGGAGGTGGTGTTGTCCTGTGAATGTTGCCCTGTGTGGGTTATTCACTCAGCTGACACTCATCCGGTGCCTACTTGTGTGCCAAATCAAGACACCGGGGATGAATGCCTACTGTGTGCTGGGTCGAAGCTGGGCCACCCTGAGACACCAGGGATGAATGCCTACTGGGGCGCGGAGTCAGGGTCGGGCTGCCCAGGGACACCGGGGATGAGCACCTACTGTGTGCAGAGTCAAGCCTGTGCCACCCTGGGATGCCAGGGTCTGGGTCCCAGAGGGCCATCTGCACGTGTTCCTCCCACAAGCTGCTGCTGCACTGAGCACCTGTGACACCGGGCTCCTCCGAGTTGCACAAAACCATGCTTACTCTGACCCCCACACAACTGTTTTCTTGGCATGATTATGGATTCGGGCAGAAAAAGAACCAGAGACTAGCCCGGCTGTGCTCACTGCCAGAAGATGTTTTCCTTTTGGGTTGAAACTGAAGACTGTGCTCTGCAACAGGACACATGTGTCTAAAGAACACACAGAGTCATGAAAGTTCTTCCGACCTCAAACTGAAACTGTTTAGAACAGAAGCTTGTGAAAGGCTTTCCTGAGAAACACTGCCTGTATCCACTTTAGACAGAAATGTTCTTACATAAAATCTACTTTTAGAAATAATCATGAAGTATGTTTCACATTCATACAGAACAGTGGTCAATCATGAAGTATGTTTCACATTCATACAAAACAGTGGTCGCATCAGCTTCTTAGAACTGCCATAGCAAGTACGACACAGCCAGGGAGGCTTCAGATGCAGAAATGTGTGGTTCTGTGGAGACTCGGGGTCAGAAATCAGCCGGGCAGCTCCCCCAACAGCAGGGCGGTCTTTCAGTCTGTCTGACTTATTGGGCATCACCCCATCCTGGCCTCTCTCATTGCATGGCTGTGTCCTCCAGTGGCTGTCCCCCCTGTGGCTGTGTCATCCCATGGCTGTGTGTCCCCTGTGTCCTCCATAACTGTGTTTCCCCCCATGGCTGTGTCTCCCCCTGTGGCTGTATGTTTCCCCGTGGCTGTGTCTCCCGCCATGACTGTGTGTCCTTCCTGTGGCTGTGCATCCCCACGTGGCTGGTGTCTGCCCTGTGGCTGTGCATCCCCACGTGGCTGTGTGTCCCCCTGTGGCTGTGTGTCCCCGCATGGCTGTGTGTCCCCCTGTGGCTGTGTGTCCCCGCATGGCTGTGTGTCCCCCTGTGGCTTTTGTCTTCCCATGGCTGTGTGTCCCTTTCCGTGGCTGTGTCCACCCCCCCGGGCTGTGTTCCTCCTGTGGCTGTGTGTTTCCCCTGTGGCTGTGCGTCCCCACGTGGCTGGTGTCTGCCCTGTGGCTGTGCATCCCCACGTGGCTGTGCGTCCCTCTGTGGCCGTGTGTCCCCCCATGACTGTGCATCCCCCTGTGGCTGTGTGTCCCCATGTGGCTTTGTCTCCCCGTGGCTGTGTGTCCCCCCATGACTGTGTGTCCCCCTGTGGCTGTGTGTCCCCCTGTGGCTGTGCATCCCCCTGTGGCTGTGTGTCCCCCTGTGGCTGTGTGTCCCCATGTGGCTTTGTCTTCCCGTGGCTGTGTGTCCCCCCATGACTGTGCGTCCCCCTGTGGCCGTGTGTCCCCCCATGACTGTGTGTCCCCCTGTGGCTGTGTGTCCCCCTGTGGCTGTGTGTCCCCACGTGGCTTTGTCTTCCCATGGCTGTGTGTCCCTTTCCGTGGCTGTGTCCACCGCCGCCCCCCCCCCCGGTCTGTGTTCCCCCTGTGGCTGTGTCACCATGTGGCTGTGCCTTATGTGGCGTCTTCCTCTCTGTCTTTTCCATCTTTTCTCCCCTCGTAATAAAGAAGCCCAAGCTGGAATCAAGATTGCTGGGAGAAATATAAATAACCTCAGATATGCAGATGACACCACCCTTATGGCAGAAAGTGAAGAGGAACTAAAGAGCCTCTTGATGAAAGTGAAAGAGGAGAGTGAAAAGGTTGGCTTAAAGCTCAACATTCAGAAAACTAAGATCATGGTATCTGGTCCCATCACTTCATGGCAGATAGATGGGGAAACAGTGGAAACAGTGGCTGACTTTATTTTTTTGGCCTCCAAAATCACTGCAGATGGTGATTGCAGCCATGAAATTAAAAGGTGCTTACTCCTTGGAAGGAAAGTTATGACCAACCTAGATAGCACATTAAAAATCAGAGACATTACTTTGCCAACAAAGGTCCATCTAGTCAAGGCTGTGGTTTTTCCAGTGGTCATGTATGGATGTGAGAGTTGGACTGTGAAGAAAGCTGACTGCCAAAGAATTGATGCTTTTGAACTGTGGTGCTGGAGAAGACTCTTGAGAGTCCCTTGGACTGCAAGGAGATCCAACCAGCCCATCCTAAAGGAGATCAGTCCTGGGTGTTCATTGGAAGGACTGATGCTGAAGCTGAAACTCCAGTACTTTGGCCACGTCATGCGAAGAGCTGACTCATTGGAAAAGACCCTGATGCTGGGAGGGATTGGGGGCAGGAGGAGAAGGGGACGACAGAGGATGAGATGGCTGGATGGCATCCCCGACTTGATGGACATGAGTTTGAGTAAACTCCGGGAGTTGGTGATGGGCAGGGAGGCCTGGCATGCTGCAATTCGTGGGGAAGCAAAGAGTCAGACACGACTGAGCAACTGAACTGAACTGAAGGGCACCAGACACGTGGGTGTCACACCTGCCTGTTCCAGTGCACCCTCAGCTTGTGCCTTAGTTAAGTTTGCAGACTCTCCATTTCCAGTAAGGTCACATTCCCAGGTACCAGGGTCAGGATGTCTGCACGTCTTTTAAGGGACAGAATCCCACCCACAGCAGTGTTTTTTCCCAAAGAGTAAAGATCATCCCAGTGTGCAGTTTTTTAGAAACAGCTTTGTTGAGGTGAGATGAATGAACTCAGTAGATGTACAGTTTAATATGTAGCTGGATCAGTTTTGACAAGTACCACCGTCAAGGTCATGCAAGTCCCCACGTCCCAGCCTTCATTGGTAACT